CCCTATAAATGTTTCTGCTGTACAATTGGTGAGCCTTGTTTTACACCCTTGAAATGTGCATGACTGGATTGGAACAGGAAAAAGCTAGGGTGTTTTTACAAGAATGAATCGAGTTCTGCTTCTTTTATGACCCACAACTCCAGAATAATGAAGATCCTTGTGGCTATTTCACTATTCAAGTTTTACAACAGAAGGTCGATTTAGTTATGCAGGCTTTGAAACTGCTGGATATGATCTGGTAAATGTTAAACTGCCAATAATGATTGAGAGGGTGCTTACTTGTTTTGAACCAATTGAGTTCTCGGTTGCGGTTCATGCTACTTTTCTGGTTAAACTGCTTGAGCAAATTTGCGGTTCAAGTTGAGGAGAATTTGCATCCTAACATTCTAGTAGTGTTTTGATATTTGTTTTTAAATTTGTTTTTAAATTTGTGTTGATGTGACACTATTGCAATCAACAATGTTTTAGAATTATAACAATGAACTGGAACCACCATTTTCAGGATAATTACGAATTGTTAAGTAGGAAGGAATTCATCAAGGCAAAATGGGAGAAAGATGATCTTATTGGAGCTAATCAAGTGCTCAATGAAGTGCCTTGACTGTAGTGCCTTGCAATTTTATTTAGCAATAGTTAGCAATTCTAGCAATTTTATGGCAAATCATTACTTAGCAATTTTATTTATATCTATGTTGTTTTATTGATGTTTTAGGTTGTGTGATTCTGTTGGAGTTGGCAAAGAGTCGTGATTTATCGTCTTTTCAACTTCGTAGTTGTGATTAGTTGCAAGTAGAAATATTGTCGTAGTATAGTTATATTGTAGCATGTTGTAAAAAGTTATTGGTATTGACTTTTTGAATATTGTGTACTACAATTTAAATAATAAATTTATAAATGAAAATGTTGATTGATTTGGTTATTTATCTTTATTTGTTGATTTTATATTTTAATAATCACACAATTATTTATAAGCTAATTAATATAATATATACCGGTTGTTTATGTATGTATATATATAATGATACCAAGGTATCATGTACTTTTATGTTGCTTATGTGTCAAAAAAGTTTTATGATACTATAACTCATAATTTTGTAAGATATTATAATGTCATTATTTTTTGACATTAATATATTTTTGTACCAGTGACACTAAATTTAGTGTCACTTGCCTCGCTTTTCTGTGACACTTACGAAGTGTCATTAAATCGTTTAGTGACACTAATTTAATGTCACTATAAGCCATTTTTTTTTACTAGTGTTAACATGTTTACCTTAGACTAACCTGTGAACAAATGACTTTGATATGTTCATGCCAAAGCCTATGGCTTTGATGTTCTTTCTTTGATCCAGGGTGATACCTTTTATCTGTTCTACGTCAACATGAACTCTTTTTCTACCCACATTTCCTTTGTATTGGCTGTGCGCATTAATAGGTAGTCCCTCATTCATTTGTGTTTTAGCTCTGGCCCACAATTTATTTACCGAACGTCTCGACACTTGAACTGCAACACTGTTTTCCCCACTATGCCTCTCTGAAGTTTCCGATCCCAATAATTTGCTAGCAGCGTTTCAACCAAAGTGCTCTTTTTGTGAATTGGTCAGTTTGCCCCATGGCCTTTTTTGGTGCGGATGACTGCTTGCATTGTTTCTGTTTTAGGTGTGGCAGGGGCATCTTCAAAGTCATTTTCAGGTTGTGGAGCACTTCTAATTTAGAGCAGACAATGACATTTAAATGTGTACTTGTTGGTTGGGATGGAACCAAAGAGAGCTCTATGAATGTGTAAATGAATTGTGGGCGGGGGGCGGGGGTAGTTGTGCACATTTATGCATAGGAAATAGAGGGAACTTTAAGTTTCATGTAAAACTAATCCCTCCAAATTAAAAAAGAGAGTGTGTAGATGCATGGTAGCCATTTCATGGATTTGTAATTGTTAACTATATAGACCATTTTTACACCGTAGACTTGTCAACTCACCTTTCACTTTCTTTGTTGTGGACGAAATTTATACTCTTTATTCAACTTTTTTTTCACATCATGTGGGGGTATTTTTGCAAAACCATTAACCTTATAACTTTTTGTTAAAAATGTGTGAAAATCAACTCATGAACTTATTTTTGGGACGGAGAGGGTATTATATAATGTTATAACACATTAAGAAAAATTTCAATATTTTTTACAATGAAAATTACAAGGGGTTTTGACATGAATATTACTTAAAAATTGACAATAGACAAAAAAGAGACCTCGCTTTTTTGAGACTAATTAACACTCGCTTCTCTGAATTACCCTTAAGGCTCTTAAACCGCTTCTCAATTAGAATCCTACAACTCTGTTGACTGACGGTGACTCCATCCATACCTGAGCATGACTCAATTCGACATCCGCATAACTTTATGTAGTAACATTGCACTACGTACCAGTGGTTACATATAGAGCCGGCAAAACGGGCCGAAACCCGCGGGTTGGCCCGTTTCAACCCACTTATAAGTGGGTTAGGGCTATCATTTTCAGGCCCGATTGTTTTGCGGGCTCAGTGGGTCAACCCTAACGGGTTGCGGGGTTTAGCAGGCCAACCCGTACGGGTTGCGGGCCAACCCGCGGGCTGAGGACAAATATAATTTATTCTATGTATTTTTAATTATATTATTTCTATATAAGACAATTATATCTTCTATTATACTCTCTCTTTACTTCTAGTTCTTTCCTCACTTCTAATACTAATGTATTTTGTTCATGATATCCAAATTAGACTAAATAAATGTATTTTTAATGTATTCGTTGCTATATTGTTTTATAACATAAGGACTTCTATGCTGTTTTATTCATGATATCCAAATCAGGCTAAATAAATGAGAAATTAGGTATTTGCGGTATTTCAGCTTAAGTATACCCACAATAGTACATTAAAGCTTTTAAGTATTTCATCTTTTAACTTTTTAAGTATACCACTTACCCACGATGATACATTCAAACATACAACCAAACGATTTTCAAGCACTAATTTTTTCCTTTTTAATTGTGTTTGGATTTTAATTTAGATATTTAATTGCTATTACAATTGTGTTTAGATTTTAATTTAGATATTTAATTGTTTTTTTGTTTTGACATTTATGGCCCGCGGGCTGGCCCGCATAACCCGTGGGTTAGGTGGGTCGGGTTAGGGTCATAAAAATTCTGGCCCGATAGTAAGCGGGTTGGCCCGCCCCGACTCGTGAAACTCATAACCCGCCGCGGGTCGGGGCGGGTCGGGGCGGGTTGGCCTGTTTGACAGCTCTACTTACATAAGATCACTCTCTACCCATAATTGCTTCTTTTGATTTTATTATGATATACAGAGTATTATTTATCAAGATAGATACTCCGTATTTGAATATGAAAACATTGGGGTCTTAATTAAATATTTAAATTATTATACTAAAATTTGTGTGAAACCACCGTTCCAATTGTTAATGTTTCATTGATCAAGGTTCTAGTTACTAACGCCTCAGTGACCAGCGTTCCAGTTACTGACGCTCCAGTGACCACCGTTCCAGTTACTAACGCTCCAGTGACCACCGTTCCAGTTACTAACGCTCCAGTGACTACAATCCTGGTTACTACCACTTCGGTAACTGTCGTCCCAGTTACTATGGTTCAAATGATCCCCGCCTCAATTACTATCGCTCCAGTGACCTTCGTCTCAATTACTACTGTCTCAATTATCACTGTCTCAGTTACTTCCGCGCCAGTGACAATGTCTCAGTGACCACCGCACCAGTGACCAACTCACAGTGACTAAGACGGGAGTGACCTATCTAACACCGGCATTCACGAGAGTACTGGCGGTAGGCAGTTTAACGGGCCAAACCAACACCGCCTACATCGCTACCCTACTGCCTTGACACTGCAATGACCAACACCAATGGGCGAGACTCCAGTGACACACTTGCACCATAGTAATACCTCTCAATGACATACCACCACCCTTCAATTCGCATCATTTTAACCAACCCCTTCCCCGCCTCACACTACCCCCACAAAACGCCACTACCCAAGCTATGACACCATCTGGCATCAACCGCCCATGAACCAACGGCCAAACCCAGAGCTAGATCCTTCTTAACCCCTGTCACTGCCCGATCAATGATAAAACTCACCACCTGGAATTGAAATCAGCTTAACAATGAGCCTAACTCCAAACCTCCAAACCAGGATGAAGAAATCATTCAAAAGCGAGACTCAATTGCATAAGAGAGAAGAAGGTGAATAAAAAGTGGAAGAAGATGGTGCGGGCGGGAGGGGGAGAAAGAGACGAAATCTGAATCGCCATAGAGGAAATTGGTGCTTTCAACACTTGACGATAAGGAACGAGGAGAAACACAGGCGACTCGGCAAACCACAGTCCTTGGAACGAATTGTGTCGCTGTTGCCGGAATCGAAGATGAGTGTTGGTAAGCTGGGTTGAAGATTTGAAGTCCGCTCCTTGAAAACCTCTGTCTTCGCCATTGCAGGAGCAAAAGCGCCATCTACATCTCATGAACAGATCTAGGTTGCCTTGGGCCTTTGGTTGTGGCCATCGCCGGAATCTAGCTGGGTTGCCTTGGCCGCAGGGTTGGAGTCAATCGAAGACCTTCACGGCCTCACACCTGGAAGGGAATGAAGAGAAGAATTCTATCGGGGTAGTTTAGACATATTACACATACGTAGGTCACATATTTGTCCAAAATAGGAAGTTGCCTCATTTTTGTCAATAGAGAAGCTGTAGCTATTATTGGCGTCATTTTTTTAAGGAAAATGCTATGTATACATTGTTTGTACACAACTTGTACATGCTATAAATACCTCATTATTTTTACCATTTCATTTTTGTTTTTTACCTCTCTCTCTCTCTCTCTCTCTCTCTCTCTCTCTCTCTCTCTCTCTCTCTCTCTCTCTCTCTCTCTCTCTCTCTCTCTCTCTCTCTCTCTCTCTCTCTCTCTCTCTCTCTCTCTCTCTCTCTCTCTCCCTCTCCCTCTCCTATTTCTTCTCTGCACCTTTCTCGTAGCTTCTCTCCACCAGCCCACTTTCTCCTTTCTTTCTTCTTCCTCATTTTCATTGCAATCCTCCTCCATATTTAATTGTCACTAGCCATTTTATTTATCACTATGGTGTTCACGAATGAATAGGGAGTGCCACAGATCTGGAAAACATCGCCGCCTGGAGCCGCCGCCGCCCGGATGCTGCCACGGCCTGGAAAATTACAGGTTCGACCACCGCGAGCATTTTTGACATGTAGGATCGATTTAGGACTCAGTGAATTGCTGCAGACCCACTGCCACCGTGGAATTCATTCCCCCTTCATCTTCCTTCACTCCAACCTCATTAACCCTAAATTAGATGCTAATTTGCCCCTTTTTGTTTAAGGATTAGGGTTGTAACTCTATTTTTTCCTTTTAAATTTTATGTTTTATTGATATTTTAATGTTGTTTGTCTGACACTTTTGTTTCTATATCATTTGAGAATATCATTATTTTTGTTACATACCCTTTAAAGTTTTGAATTTTTGGGAACAAATGTTTGAGCTCTTATTTTTGTTAGTTGTGCTTGGGTTGCTGTATTGGAATACATTGTAAAGTTGCAGATATCAATATTAGGGTGCTAAAGTATTTTGTTTCTCTTAGTTCAAACATTTGTTTTTGGAGAGTTACTATATTCTTTAATTATCAAAATGATGTTGTTTTTGTAGTTATGATCAAACATTTGGTTTGACAAAAATCTTCTTTTCGAATCCTTGACCCGTAGAAAATTAAGAATATGTTTACAATCTATAATGTTGTCTTTTTATCCCTAAGTATGTTTGAGGATTTGGTATTTATAACATGTATTCTATATGTATTCTACTACTCTTTTAGTTCTTCCGGGAGATTTAAAATAAGATGCCTGATTACATTATAAATAGTATCAAGTGTACTAAGCCCCATTTCTCCTCTACCGATGACACCACTATTTGGACCCTTACTTTCACGGGATCCTACTCCTTTAGGAGTGCCTATGAGGAAATCAAACCTAAAAGAGACCTCCATCAAAACATTTTGAACATCTGGAACAAGAATATCCCTACTAAAATCTCTTTCTTTATGTGGAAAGTCATAAACAACTTGCAACCTTTTCAGGAAAAATTATACCTTTTTGGCAATAACGGCACCTTTAAATGTCCCTTTTGCAACAACTTTGATACTAGAGACCACTGTTATACTTCATGTGATCTTAGCAAAAATCTGTGGACCCATTACGGGAACCTTTTGAATATTAGAAACCACTACAGTGAGTCTCTATGATGATACTAATATTTTACTCTCTGAGGCTATTGAGTCTATCAATAGGGAGATTCGGGATGTGAGCAGGGCCAAACCGCTTCTTACCAAAGCTACCGATCCTCCCATTTTTGACATTCAAACTGTCAAACCCAGGGTGAAACCAAAAAAGCCCACCACACGGATTGATAGTTGGGCTAAACCTCCTGCCAACTTCATCAAAATTAATATAGCTATGGGAACCAGGCAGGATGGGAGTAATATTTCTGGCCTGGTCTTCCGTGACAGCCGGGGGGAATTGCTTTACTATAATTCTAACAATCATACTTATCCTGATTACACTGCCATCTTCTGTGAAAGTATGATTAAGTCAAACAATAAGATACAGGACAATAACTATACTAGTATCATTCATGAGAGTGACAACTTACATGTGATCAAGACCCTTCAAGGAACCATGAAGCCTAGGTGGACAACGATTGCAAACCTCTATGCTTTCAAAGAAACCTTTCAATATGTCAATTTCGGTTACTCTTGCATCACTAAATCCTGTAATAGGGCAGCTTATTAGGTTGCGATTAATGCTAATCTTTTTACTAGTAGCCCAAACACTTATAGTAAATTCCAAGGAATTCTCAAATTTGATGCGGTTAGTTACCCGTATGTGATTTAATTCGGTAGGTTTCGGCTTCATGTCCCCCTACCATGTACTTTTCTAATTTTCTAATAAACTGGTAAGGTGTTCCAAAAAAAAATCTACTACTCTTTTAGTACTTAAATTAGGTTTGTGGAAGATGAGTGAATACTAGTTTCATCTTTAGAAGTCTTACACTATATCATTGAACTGCACCAAATCTAGAGTGAAGTCCTACATCAAATATTAATGGTTTTGCCGTATGACATTTGAACTAGTGTTTGCTAACTGTATATATGTCTCCTGATTTATAAAGAGAAGATGTGTTTACTTTGAATTCTTGATTGGGGGTGATAATTTTATACTACCTTCGTCCCAAAATACTTAGCCAAATTCTACACTCCTCTTTATGTTTATGTGGCACAAGCTAGTCCTTTGTGAATTTGCCATCTTCTCCTAGATTAATTAACATGGTAACAGAGATAATTAAAGCCTTCAAATCATCCCAATTTTTCTTTTCTTGCACTATGTTTCATAGTGCAAACACTATGCTTTCATAGTGCAAACACTATGCTTTAATTATTCAATGCTTACCAAACTCATGCTATAGTTTTAATTCTTACTACAAGAAAACAATGAACTACAAGATTTCGATTTTCTTAAACTTCGAATGACAGGTGAGACTTTGCTCATAATAACCAAGAAAGTCTCTTAATCCCTGAGATTGTGTAAGATTTAGTGTTTCTTTGATTTTGTTCTTTTGTTTATTTTAGAATTTATCTATTAAAAAGTTGTCAATGAGACTGTCGGTTCTGCATTTTGGGATATTGAATTTATGCTCACTTTGCTTGTTATAGCTTTATTGTTTTGATGCTTTCAAAGATTTTTGTTTTGTTTTGATGCTTTCAGTTGATGTTTTGAACTGTTAATTTAATGAGTTGTTTTTCTTTTGTTTCATTGTTCAATTGATTTGCTATAGGTTTACAAAAAAAAGGAACACTTGAGCTACTTTTTGATGATCAAGTATTCAAGTCCACTACAAAGGAGCAACATTTATTTTAGATAATAATTGTAAAGTAGTATTATGGTTAGATATATTTGTGGTAGTTTTGTTATGTACACCAAATGTGATGGCTTAAACAGTCAATTTGCTCTTCTTATTTAGCTTTTGATGTAATTTATGATGTTATAATCTTTTGAGTTGGTTTTCAATAAAACCTGATACTTGTATTGATAATGGGACATGGGACGTGTCATTCTTGTAACTAATTCTTCAGTGTAAGTAAGTTATATTTTTAAACTATGTTGTAAGTTAGCTGAAAAGCTGAATTAGTAGTCTTACTCTCATTATGATACATTGTTATATATAACTTGTATTCATTATAATTATTAAATTAATAGAAAATAGATGTAAATCATGAAAGTGTTAAATATCTTACAAAATAGCTACTCCATAAAAGATAATACATGATCTCGGTTGGAACTAAATTTGAATTTTCTTATATACAAGTTATGTTAATATGCCCAAATAAAAATTGTTTGTGTGAAAACAAACTTACCTAAATAATTTTGCTCATACTTTATTCTCTATTATATCTGTGGACAATAGTTGTTTATGAAATTAAGAATCTCGGTTGAATAAATTCACTTGGCAGATTAACTTGTTTCAGTGGTACAATTATTGTTTGTAACTAGACATTTCACATCACGTTCACACACAATTCCAATTAGCACATTTGATTGTTTCAGTGACTATTGCCTGTAGGCAGACATTTTATGTCTAGTTCACAGACAATTTCACTTAGCACATTAGCCCATTCAAGTGGCTATTGTTTGTGGTCAGACACCTCATATCAGGCTCACATGCATTTTTACTTGATACATTAGTTCATTCCAGTGGTCATTGTCTGTAACCAGATACTTCATGTTTGGCTCAGAGACAATTCCACTTAGCACAATAGCTCATTAACACAAAAATAGTCACTAGCATAGGCTAAAGGGCTAATGTGTTTAATCGAATTGTCTGTGAACCAGACATGAACTATCTGGTTATAGACAATATCCATTTGAACGGACCAATGTACTAAGTAAAATTGTTTGCGGACGTGATATGAAATGTCTGATAATAAACAATAGCCACTGATTTAGGCTAATTAACTCATATGGCTAGTAAAATTGTCTATGAACCGGACATGAAATGTCTGGACACAGATAGGGAAAAAGAGAGAAAAGGATTGGTGGGAAGGGGTAAATTAAAGAAAAAGAAAGATAAAAATTAAATTGGCCCTTTATAGTATGTACACTTTGTGTACATGGTATGTACCGCAAGCATTTTCATTTTTTTAATTACAAAATTCATACGAAAACAGCATTTGGGTAAAAAGTAAAAACACATGCATTTTACTTCGACAGCCTTCCCTCATCTTCCAAACCTCGCGCTAAAAAAATCCCGCCAGGCGTTTCCCGCCAGATAAAGCATCATCTCACTCCACCCCACTTAAACCCTAACACTCGTTTCTTCAGAGGCTGACCAAGCAAAATTACGACAGCTTTCATCCCGGAGTAAGCGACATAGACCTAGAAGGTCGTCGTCGTTTCAAATCGACCATGAAGATCCGATCCATGAAGCTCCGGGAGGCGCACAAAAACAGCAGCGGCGACGCCTCCTTATGCTCAATTCTCTGGGACCAGAGCGGTGAGCATATCGTCACAGCATCTGCTTCCGATTCGTCTATTTGTATTCACGATGCCATTTTCCCGGCGAATCCGCCAAAAGTTCTGAGAAATCACAGAGACGGTGTCACAGCTATTGCTCTTAGCTCTAATTCCACCTGCCTCGCCTCCGGATCTGTTGACCATTCCGTCAAGCTCTACAAATTTCCAAGTATGCTTTTCTAATTTTTTTTGGTGGTAGTGTTCTTTCTGCGCATCATGTAATTAAGAGCTCCTTATTTTTTCATATTCTGTTTTTATGTAGTTCTAGGGCGATATAGCTCAATTAGATACATTTTCCGTCTAACATAAAAGTTGAATTGTATAAAAAATTGTACAAAGCATCATGCTTTTGCATCCAGCCGTTTTCCCTCCATTTTCATAATGACGTATGTGATAGAGGAAATGCAGTTCATCTTGAGTTTCTGTTTGTTTAGATTCATATGTGATCTTCAGCACGTGAGTATGATTCTTAATTCTTAGTACTCCTCCCTCCTTGAATTATCTTTCAACTTTGCTTTTTCTTCCGTTCCAAAATAATTTCTTTATCCTTTTTGACAAAGAATTTGTGGTTCCCTGCATTTCTTACACATTCTTACATAATTCTCTCTCCTCTACACAACTCTATGTCACACAATTCTCACTTTCTTAATCCCCGTGCAAAACCCCATTTGGGAATATTTATATTGGGATTCGAATAATACCCAATGGAGGTAATGGTTCTTATTAACTGTAATGTTAATAATTTATATTTACTTCGAGTAATAGTTATATTGGCATTCATGAAGAAGTGCTCAGTTCTAGATTTTCCAACGTTTTGAAGGAAATATAATATGGAGTAACTGAGTAAGAAATATATTAATCAGTATTTGATACATCATTTCCCCTCCGCCTTATTATCTTTGTCCCATTTTCCCCTTTTTGTACCATATTTGGTAATACATGTGTGATTCAAATTCATTCTCACTTTATTCACACTTTCAATTCAATACCAATTACCAAACTCTACTTTTCTTAATAATCGCACCGCCTCTCCTATACCAATCACAGAGGGATGGAGGTAGTACTAAGTATATCCTTTTATTGTTTACGAAATAAAGATTAAAAACATGAAAGTGTATGATTGCTTGAACATGAAGCCATGAAGGTACCTAGATTCACAGTAGGTTTTATAACGTGTAGAAGTCTGATGGATTTGAAGGTGAAAATTTGAATGGCTGAAGTATGTGTTTCTTCTTCCATAAATCATCTTTTGTTCAAACTTCTAGGCTTCCTATTTTCCTATTTACTGCTGATCTACATGTAATTATTATGTGATTTGGAGTATCATACTTAATTGACTTGAAGTGTAGCCTTTAACATGTGATAAAGATGCCAATATCTTTATTTTGTGTGAGTTGCATTGTATCTTTCTGGATTTGATCATTGAAGCAACTTATTCACGCGTTCTGTTAGCTCACTTAACTTCATATATTTTTGTGGCTAATTTGATTAGTTCTCTATGTCTCTATATAAATATATCCGCTAGGTGGAGATTTTGAAACAAATATTACTAGATTTACATTGCCAATAAGAGCACTTGCTTTCAATAAGTCGGGCACTATGTTAGCAGCTGCCGGTGATGATGAGGGCATTAAACTAATAAATACTATCGATGGTTCGGTTGCAAGAGTACTTAAAGCGCATCGAGGCTCTATCACTGGTATAGCTTTTGATCCCAAAAGTGAATATCTCGCCTCAATTGATTCGGTAGGGACTGTCATACAATGGGAGCTCCAATCAGGAAGAATTATTCATACCCTAAAAAACATAGCTCCCCCCACAGGTTTGGACCATGCTTTCATGAATACGCTTAGCTGGAGTCCTGACGGGGAGCTACTAGCTGCCCCTGGTTTGAAGAATGATGTAGTGATGTATGATAGAGACACTGCTGAAAGTCTGTTTTCGTTACGTGGTGATCATGTCCAGCCTATTTGCTTTATATCATGGTCACCTAATGGAAAGTACATGGCTACTTCTGGTTTAGATAGACAGGTTTTGGTATGGGATATAGATAAGAAACTAGATATTGATAGACAGAAGTTTGACAATATGATATGTTGTATGGCATGGAAGCCACAGGGAAATACTCTAGCAGTTGTTGATGCTATGGGGAAATTTGGTTTGTGGGAATCTGCTGTTCCTTCATCTATGAAATCGCCCACTGAAGATATACCTAGCATGGGATCAAAGGGCAGTAATGGATTACTTCTATTTGACGATGAAGAACAGTGTAGTGCATCTGGTAGTTTGAGTGCTCTTGGGGAAGATAGTTATGGTGAATCTGATCACTTGCCTAGCCGAAAAAGGATACGCAAACAGTCTGTTTGTGGCGATGAGTGCAAAGATGATAATGAGTTG